CGCACCCACACACACGCACACGCACACACACAGACACAGAGACACACACACACACTCGCGCAATCCTTTGTTAACTCGTAAAGTTACTTGCAGAGGTAAAAATCTTCAGCCACATAGGCGGTTAAAGGATTTTCGTCGACATGCCAAGTTTGTGGCTTTGCCTGGTTGCCATGCGGAATCACACAACTCTGTAAAGCTTTTGGCTAATGCTTAGCCCCATGCCGCTGGAAAAAATCGCACGTGCATTTGCAAGGGGTGAGGATTTCAGCTGCCGCGACGGACCCAGGAACTTTTCATGAGGGCCATCAGCTGTCACGACGACCCACCCTACCGCTTTGATTCGCAGGTACGTTTTCATGCCCTGTCACTGGCAGTCTTCGTTGGCTGAGGTGCCAGTGACGGGCTCAGCCCCCTGCTGTTTTTGTTTATAGTGCGTCCCTTCGTAACAGGCTTACCCACACCCACACAATCCCAAACACAAACACACAAGCACAAGCACAAACACGTTCACCCAGCACTAGTCCGGTACTCGGCAGCAGAAGCGAAGCTTTCCGTTTTGGTCCGTTGCCGAAAAGGTGGGTTTCAGATCTGCAGCAGAAACTGTGAGACAGAAACCGGACCGGACGCTTCTGAACTTGGACGGAAATCCTCCTCGGAGAAAGCCCAAAGAGGGAAACGGACAAAACAGAAGACCAAGCAGGCGGAAGCAGGGGCGGCGGAGGGTGGTCAAAACTGCCGGCAGTACCGGAAACGGAAGCCGGCCAACAGCTAAAGCCCGCAGCTGCGGTTGCGGTGGCGGTTCCGTTGCGAGCTAGGCAAACTTGACGGAAAGCTGCTGCTCTGGAGTCTCCGAGACCCACGCTGGATCACACTGCCGAATGTCCGCAAAGAGAAGAGGTGGAGGAGCAAAGACGGGTGGGGCGGGGTGTTTTGCAAATTGTCATGCATGCATCGGCTGTTGTGTAAAACTGAATGTCTAATTTTGGCACAAGGGCCTTCGAATCTTGCTGGCTCCAGGGCCCCAGCTTTTTTGCCTGGTAAAGCAGGTACGTCAAAAGAGCGTCGTCTTTCGATATCACATTCCAATGGTGCGGTCTTCATTGGGCAATGCACACCCAAGGAATCATTGCGCCCCTGCTGGTAGTTTGTTTCGAAAAACCATGTCAAGGTGTGTTCAATGGTTAATGCGGCAATGAAAGAGTGACCCTTTGTTCCCATGTGCTAAGGAAGTTCACGCACACACACACACACATTGACATGCCTTTTCTAGTTTTGCGGCAGCGCTCACCCTAGATGGCTGAAGGCATTCACGAAATGGCATACCCAGGCGAATGCAGCAGTAAGAGCGGGACCGACTGGCACGATGCTGCCAACCCGGCTGCGGTTAGTGGCCAGTTCATCCTCTGCGAAGTAGAGAAGATAGTCCTTCTCAGTTGTGGGATGCACACGAAGCGATGTACAAGCACTAGCAAAACAGACCTGTCAGAACGCTGGGGGAGTAAGCGAAGTGTATTTTCCTGAACCAAAGTAACCCTGCGTTTCCATAAGCCCCTCGAGCCTGAACGCGGCTGGAATCTGAAGGCTCTTGCCACGTAACATTTCCTCCGAACTCGAGCGGGTCGAGATCCTGAGCAGGTTTATCGGGCCTCCGAACATTCGATTCCTGTGTGGCAACACAAGGGGTTCGACGAAGGAAGGGCTGGGGTGTTGGTATAATCGTTGCTGGTCGCAGGCCTGAATAATCAATAGTTGATGCGGTCGAGGGCAAGCTCAGATCCAAGTATGCTTGTGAAGGCTTGAGCTTTTCAGTGTGTTCCGGAATGTTGCTGTCACCCCTATTGAAGCCGCAGCCAGCAGCCACAGATTTCCAAGAGCAGTCGCTGCTACAAGTTCCATGCGCAAAACTTCGCCGAGGCACATCATCAATGAACTCGATTCCTGCACGGCACCAAAGCAATATGGTTTAGGGGCCTCAGTCTTGGGTGGCTACGACACGCCGGATGCTACAAGGTTCTGACCCCACAGCAACCATTTTATTTGAAGTGCTCCATTCATGGCTCAAGCTTCTTAGCTTCCTGTCCTGAGACTGTCGCAGTGGCATCAAAGATCTGATGCGCAGTTGGTGTGGATTGCTCCACCTGCGAGCTGTATAGAGTGTAGAGTCTTACATTCTATCTTGGGACTATGCTCCTCCAAACCATCGGAAATCATGTGTCGGTAGCGGTAGCATGTGGGAAATTGCAAAACTAGGCCCAAGCCCCCAAAACCCAGCCCTCAACAAGCTGCTGACGAGGATGATGGCGATGATGAAGAAAATGGTGGTGATGATGATGATGATGCTGGTGACGGCGATGATGATAACGATCATGATGACGAGGATGATGACAATGATGATGCCGGTAGCAATGATGATGACGGGGCGATGTGGAAAAGCTTGCTGCGCAGGGATCTTCTTCCCGACATTTTGTTCGCGCCGCAAACCTAAACAAACACTTGCCCCAACCTTAAAAATCTTTGGCTCCACCAGCGTTTTCGATTTCTCTCGTTGCACTAGCTTCGGCACTGGCTTCGCCGTTCCCTGCCCGGCTCCACAGCTTAAGTTCAGGGTGGGTTTTTTCCTAGCACACAACAAGCCCACTGCTCAACACGTTGATGACGATGATGATAACTATGATGCTGACAAGGATGATGGTGAAGATGACATTGGAAATGTTGCCGCGCAAGCAGCTTTTTCCCCAAACCTTGTTTCGCCCCACAGCCCTCAACAACCTTGCCCAACCTTCAAAATAATCGGCCCCACCTTCGCTGCTCGGCTTCGCAGAGTAAGTTCAGGCCGGGTGGGTGTTTTCTTTTTTTTGGGGGGGGGGCTGGTGTGCCGGAATCTAGGGTCGCAACGCCATGGCAAATTGCGAAGAACCGAGAGTCCGGCCAGCGACGAGGCTGTGTAAATAACCTCGGACAGACAAGCCAGAGACTATCGCAAACTCCGGAAATGGATGGGGTGAGTATGGGTCAGGGCCGCTCGGTCAAGGACAGCGCAATGGTTGACCTGAAGTTCACCACAATCCAAAGACAACCGCAGTTTCCTATATTCCGGTCCCGATGCGAAGCCGAAGACGCCAAGCTACGAAGTGGGTGAAGTTCTCTCGGGGTGTGTCCGCCGACACGGTGGTCTGGAGCTCTGGCTTCTCCACACTTCGGTAAGCTTTCCTGCTTTCACGATACAGTGCAAAGACTTTGTAGCATTCGGGACGGCATGATTAGTTTCAAGGTTCAGTGCTTGTAATGGCTGTCTCGAGGCATGGACGATGACTCCCTGCCTGCACCAAGCGAAGACGGCGTCTCTGGCTGGGTCGACCACGTCCTGCGCAGGCCGTTGCGTGGCTTTGTTTTCAAAACGAAAATGTAGAGGTCGCAGGCTGAGGTCACGTTGATGTCGAAAACCATTTCGGCAAATCTGCCCGTTGGCAATAAGAGCTGAAAGCCACCGACTTGAGGATGTCGGGTATGCGAGGTCTGTGGTACGATTTTCGCACGTGCCCCTGATGCACCGAAACTTCGAGGTCCTCTGCAGACAGTTGCCTGGTCACTCTTGCATAGTTTTCCGGATCAGTGTCGTCTTGCCCCGCGTCGCCGCTGCTGTCGAGCCTAAGATTCCGAAGAATCTAGCAAGCCACTGTGGCAGTAGAGCGGTTCAACCAAAAGGGATTCGGCCTACGTAAGGCAGCAACACAAAAGGGCCGATTTGGTCATTTTCAAACTCTCTGGGATCATGCCTTGAAGCCCACATGAAAAGCACCCACGCGCACACACGGACAAAAACAAAGACACATGTTAGATTTTGCCACTTTGTTCAGATGTCTGCCAGCATTGCTTAGACTCGTCACTCAATTGAAACAATGACAATGTTACAACTGTGAGTTCAAGCCGCAGAGGCCACGCGAAACTACCAGTGAAACAGCTTGTCCATTTAGCAGCCAAACGCTCCAACGGGCTGTTCACGCACGCACGCTAGGACGCAATACCAGGGTAAGCAGCTAGCAGGATTTCACGGCAGGCGCAGCACTTTAGGGGTATACAGCTTGGTCCTGTGAGAAGCTAGATTAACCAAAACCACAGGAGCATTAGTTCAAAACATGCTGCGGCTTGTTGGGTTTTGGACACGTGGATGCGCGTGGCTGTGGGGTTTCTGCACCAATTCGTTGCTCAGCAGACGCTATTCTGGGCCAACCTTCCAGTCAGAGCTTGAGCCAACTTTGTCTGTTGCAAGGATCAAAAAGGGGGACTGTGCCCCAGCTCATATCATGGTCGGGACATGGATGCTCTGTGGGAATGGATGGAGTCTGTGTCGACGTCATCATGGTTGGGACAAGGATGCTTTGTGGGAACGGATGGAGTCTGTGTGCACGTCATCATGGTTGGCACATGGATGCTCTGTGAAGGCGGATGGAGTTTGTGTGGACGTCATCATGGTTGAGACATGGATGCTCTGTGGGAACGGATGGAGTCTGTGTGGACGTCATCATGGTTGGGACATGGATGCTTTATGGGAACGGATGGAGTCTGTGTGCACGTAATCATGGTTGGGACATGGATGCTCTGTGGGAACGGATGGAGTCTGTATCATGGTTGGGACATGGATGCTCTGTAGGGACGGATGGAGTCTGTATCATGGTTGGGACATGGGTGCTATGTGGGAACGGATGGAGTCTGTGTGGACATCATCATGGTTGAGACATGGATGCTCTGTGGGAACGGATGGAGTCTGTGTGGACGTCATCATGGGTTGAATTGAGTCTGGTCTCTTTTTGTGAGGCTCAATCCGGCTGCAGCATATGCGTCTGAGTGCTCTCAAGAGAGGCATGTCCCTGTACAGGTGAGCGGGAACAATTTGACTCCGCTTTGGACTTTGCCTGTTACGGGCCCCGCCGATGTGGATTGCAGAATCCGCATGGCAAGAGCTTCCTTCCACTTTGGCCGTATATACATTGTGGAGTATGATATGAGTGACCCTTTGGCCTGATGTACACCGCGAAGTTTTCTGGCATGTCAGGAGGCGTAGCATGACTTGTCGATGTACTTGCCGTCGTTGTCGTAGACGAAGATGTAGCCGGGGTCGGAGTCGTAGTAGTACCCGTGCTCGCGGTGGTAGTAGATGTTCTGGTGGCCGCCGTTCTGAACAGCATGCGGTCGCAGCAAACAGCGAGGGCGGCGAGATCATGAGGCTCAATGGTGACGCCTGCAATCGTCTGTGTATGTTGTGCGTCAGCTGTAGTGATCATCGACAGTGCCGCGACCACGCAGAGCAGCCTGTTGGAGGAGAGCATCATTGGAATGCCGATGAACCATGCCTGCTTGGTGTCCAGGGCCTTGTCACCGGCAATGAGGTCGTCCTCGGAGAAGTCGGTGGACGGAGGCAATCTCTTCAGTTCAAGAGGATGGCCTGTGTTCCAGAACTTGATGTGCCCCGTCGTGAGCCAATGCATTAAACATTCAGACTGCATGGGTTTTGTTAAAGCATCTGCAGTCATGCATTCCGTGGGTGTGAGAATGACCCAACGGATCCTGCCACTGGCCCTTGCCTCTCGATGAGCCAGCACGTACAGTCGTTGGGACTTGTCCTGAGGCAAGTTCTTCTGGCCTGTAGAGAGTTCCCAGAAGTCCTTGGCGTCGGTGTGCGTGTCGACCGGAAAGTGTTTGCATCCACGTTTTTGGATAGCCAGCAGCTGCAGGGTTGATTGTGGGCTTGCCACCGCCATAGGTGATCTCAGCAAGCCGAGCGCTCACAAGGGTAGCACATTCCAGTCCGTTGATGGCTGCTAGCGTTTCACCGTGTGATGTGGAGTAGCTCACATGCTTCGCCTTAGTGTTGGACTGCATGTGAAGAAGTTGTGCCTTGCCGGACAGTCGATTCGCTGCGAAGTCGTCGGATGCCACGACGTGGTTGGAGTCCACGTCCAGGTAGTCGGCCATGAGCACGACTATCACGCCTTCCTGGGCGTAGTTCTTGGCTGCGGAAGCTGCACTCGCATCATGGATGCATGCGATGCGGTAGTGGTCGGCCTCCAGGCTCCTGTAGTAGATCGCAGCCTCCTTGTTTGACCTTCGCGCGGTTCATGACGCCTTGTAGCATAGACAGATCCGCCAGGAGGTCGGGACGTGTGATGCCCGTCCGCATCAGTGCACCGATGGCTGAGCGTAGGATAGTGAGCTCAGCCGGGTTGAGATCGCGGTCATCCTTGTCCTCCTTCTTGACTGCAATGGGCTTCAGCATGGTCACGTACTCCACCATGATGCCGTCCTTGATGGCTGAGTACCGGCATCCACAGTGCATGAAGGTCAGAGTCTGGCGACTCAGTTTGCCAAACTTCTTGATCCTCATGTCGAACACTTCATTAAGCCACTTCATGACACCTTCGACCGCCAGGTCGTCCACATGAGTAGATATGTTGGAGCTTGGCCATTGCCCATGACGTGGATTGGGCCAGTACCAGAAACACTCATCAAAGTGGGACTGCTGTCCGCCCAGCTGCTTCAGATACTTGCGGAGGTAGAGCTGCCACGCCAGGGGAGCTTCCGAAAGGCCATACACAGGCTTAAGGCACAAGAGGACGAACTTGTGGATGTCCTCTTCCTTGATGTTGAACTTTGCGCTGAGCTTTTTTCAGGTGCCTCCACGCGTTTCGCGGTGGCACGATGGCTGTCATGCGCTCCACACATTGGACGCCCAACTCCTTGAGCGCCTTCCACAGTTCCTGGTAGGTGAGTCGGTTCAGGAAAGCGCCGGCGATATCCCAGCTCTCCAGGGACTTCCCAGTTCCATTTGTTGCGGAAGCCAGGATGAGCCGCTGTGACAGCCGTGTGGCTGTTGATGATCGACTGCTGAGTTCGTGCTTCCATGGCCTGCCCTTGACGATCCGTCCTGCCTGTAGGAGCCTTCTTCCACTTCCTGACCCAAATTGCATCGATGATGGCGCAGTCCGCGCCGAGGTCATCGCGTCGCACGGCACGGAAGGCATTCTCGTTGACAAACTGGCCAACCTCCTTGTAGTCTGCCTCCTCCACTTGTGGCCAGATGTCTGCCACTTGGTGCTCCTCAATGTTATCGGTCGCCGTGTCGACTCGAAAGATGTTGCCAACATTGAGGTCAGCATACCACCCTTTTGACCTCATATGGACTATTCCGTCAAAGGTCGTGGAAGCGTGGTAGAAATCGATCTCCTCGGCGGAGGTGTTCTCATGCTCGCCAAGGTCAACGAGGTGCTGTCGCCGATGCAGGTCGTGCATGTATGTGGACCGCTCCTCCAGGAAGGATACACGCTGCTTCTTGCTTTCACGCAGGACCCAGAACCACGGTCCTTGAGTCCGCACCTCGGAGTCCTGCTGTGGTTGTTGTGGTTCCGTAGTCGGTGAAGTGGGTACGATCGGCGACTCTTCCATCGGGAGTCCTTTGGGTGCCCATGTCGCCGTTGGTGCTTCCATAAAGTCCGGATCGTAGCTGTAGAAGTAGAGGTAGCACATGGACTCCTTACCACTCATTCTCACTGAGGCCGTGGACATATCGTTGCCAGACGGGTTGTCGATGATGGACATGCGGACTGTGTTCCTCTTCCATGCCACGAGGGTGCCGGTAGTGCCGGCAAAGGTGATCATCTTCCGAAGGCCCGAACCAACGCGGATACCATGGCGGGGCTTGTCCGTGAGCAACCGTGCCACAAGGACAATGTCTTCCAGCAGCTTATCCCGTTGGTCCTGGTCATGGTTTTCGGAAGAGTCTTCCACTTGCCTTGGCCATTACGTAGGTGACCAAAGGACCAAATGTATCAATGCGATAGGGAACACATGCTTCCACGCTGTCCATCAAGCGTCGCAGAGCAATCCAGGAGTCGAGCTCGGACTCTCGTCGGCTGTCGGAGGCTGTGTGGTTGTTCGCGTAGTAGGAGCCGCGGAAGATCCTGAGGCTCCTCATTGGAACGAGATATGGTCTTCCTTGATATTCCACAATAGCCGAGCCGTTCTCCTGCAGCTTCAGTAGCAAGCCGGGACCGTGCCAGCCAAGACCGTCGGCTTCTTCACGATGGAACTCAATCTCTGTGACGCCGGGCTTCATGTCCTCGGTTGGCAGTCGTTGAGGTCGTGTGTGGCCAGCTCGTGCGACACGATCTTCCACAATGGACTGAGCTGCGGCCGTGAGAGCCGCTGAGAGCCAGTTTATTGTCGAAGACGTAGAGCTCGCTCATAGATCGTTGGGTTGACTTGGTCGGCGCCGATGAAGGCTTGGATGCCGGGAGCGTCGATGTCATAGTAAGGCATCGGAAGAGTGCCCATGACCATCATATGCGGCGAGTAGCCTCCGATGTTGATGGAGGCGTTCTGGGCGAAGCTCGCCTCAGCTGCAATGTCTGCAGGATCGGCATCTGGACCTTGTCGGTCGCATTCAGCCTTCAGCTTCAGCATGCAGATCTTCGAGAGGTCGATGTGCTTTTCGACAACACCAGTGGTGGTGTGTTCACGTTGGGCTCGTCCTCGAGTGGCCCCTGCGGGTGAACGCTCAATGTTGAGCCTCTCGAACTCGGCCGCCGCCTCATGTGACATCAGACATGATTCCTGGTCGGAGACCAACTTCTTCATGGGCCCGAAGAACCTTA